GCTAACTTGTTTGAAGAAATGTCTAAACCAAGTTGTGATTTTTTTTGTTTGTTTTGTTTTTGTGGTTTCTATTTTCTTATATATATGAGTTTAATTTCTAAATATGATCCAGTGGTTACTCATGTGGTGGGTTTGAAAACCATATTCCGAAACTTATCATAAAATTTCCCTTAATCCACAAATCCATTTTCCAAATCTTTTCTCAATTTCCCAAAAAAATCAGTTCTTACATGGGTAGCCAAAATCCCTTCTTAAGCATAAAGTTCATAAAGATCCAAAAATATTCACAAACCTCAATATTAAATTAAAGTCCGATAATCTCATAGCATAATCTTGTAAACCCGTCAAGACCCCAAAGTAATTCAAATAATAATCAACACTTTTTTACATATAATTTCCATAAAATACTATATTCCACAATTGAAGCAATAGACTTTCATAAATAAAAAAAACCAAATATCACTCAATCATATACTTTATTAATAATCAAAATAATAATAATAAATAATGTTAAATAATAACCCTGAGAGATCCCAAAACTTCCAATATTGCATAACCTTCAAATAATAACCCAAGAATACCATAAAATACTAAAATATAATCTCATAATCCAAACATAATCAAAATACTTCACCTAACAGTCAACCCTCGTTTACAAGATCGTTCTAATACTTCTTAAAGGATGAAACTATCTCAGACCAAGGGATCAAACTTCCCATATTGGTCAACGGGGCCTGCAGGGCCCACGAACTTCGATTTCAGATCCGAAAGTTCCTACAGATTTAGCCAAGTCTACTAAACAGGTTCTGCAAGTTTGGTCTCGATCGAGGGGTCGGATTGCTCACGATCGGACGGTCGTCATTTAACATAATCTTTGAATCATTGAATCGAAGTATCCGAGACTCCGATTCATGATCCGCGAATTCCTACACAATCCTAGGGATGCCCACATCAACATATATAAAAATGGAGTCGATCCAACGGTCCGAACGTATCGAACCCGAATAATGCCTAATATGCAATATCCGATAAACAACCAAACAATAATCAAATTCACATATGAGCATACTGTTGCGCTCAGGACAACATGAGGAACATTTTAGGACCCAAAGGCCCACCACAAAGTGACCCACCCTCCGCCACACGTGCCGACAGCGCGTGGGTACCTATAGTAATTCCGGCGATTGGAAAATCTACAAACCGCTGGTCAAGACCTATAGCTACATGATCAAAACAATGAGTGGAGCAATTTTTGTTCTTAGACCATGGCCAAAGAGTGACCGGAACTTGCCAAAGTTACGAGCTGAAAACCGGCCAAACTTTAAGCGATAATTTCAGTTTCAAAATGCATAAATTGATCCTAAACAACTCAACCATCAGCTAGAACACATTGAAATGATGAAAAAGCATACATAGATCGAAGAAATTGGTGGCTGGAATCGCCAAAACGAGCTCTGGGAAGTTTGGATCAAAACTGCCGGATTTTTGCTTTTTCCAGCGATCTCAAGCAGCGGTTCCGTCGGAGGTGGGGTGGGGTGGGGTAGGAAGAGGAGGTTGAGCTGGTTCTTTTGGTACTAGCCCCGTCAAGTTTGGTGGCCGGAGGTGGCAGCAGTGATGAAAAATTCAATTGGTGCTGTTTTTTTGGGGGGAGGGGAGGAGAGAGAGAGAGAGAAGAAGAAATTCTAGGTTTTTAAAAAACTGACTTCGAAATATTTACAGATATGCTACTAGGCTTCCGTTGATCATACCTTCTTTGTTATAACTTCAATTTGAGCCCACTACGTGTTTACAGACTTATATCGACATGCTCTACGCAACGGTATAACTAAAATTCCCAAATTCTTTCTTGAACAAAAAGTCAACTTTTAACCCATTAAAATATTCTAGAGTAAAATTATCTTTTATTTGAATAATTTAATAATTAAATAATAATTTGGGATCAGGTTGTTACAATTTGCACCATTGTTGGGGTTAACCATCATAAGCATACAATTGTTTTTGGTGCAGCTTGTTGTACGATGAAACTGCAAAATCTTTTAAGTGGTTATTTGAGACTTTCCTTTCAGCGATGTCTGGAAAGCAACCAAAGACGATTCTAACAGATCAATCTGCTGCAATGGCTAGTGCAATCTTAGATGTATTTCCAGAATCTTCTCACCGACTTTGTGTTTGGCATATTTATCAGAATGCTGCCAAGAAATTAAGTCATGTTTTCCATGGATCAAAAGAATTTGCTCATGATTTTAGCATATGTGTATATGATCATTAGGATGTAAATGAGTGGTTATTGGCATGGAATCATATGCTTGACAAGTATAGCCTCAAGGAGAACAAGTGGTTGAAAGAAATATTTGAATTGCGTGAAAAATGAGCCCTTGTGTATGGCAGAAATCCTTTCACGGCTGATATGAAAAGCACATAGCGTAGTGAATGTATGAACAATGTCTTAAAAAAAATATTTGAAGCCAAAGCATAATCTTTTGCCCTTTTTTTAACATTATGAGAGGATTTTGGTAGACTGTAGATATGAAGAACTAGTTGCTGATTTCAAGATGCTGCAAACAACACTTGTACTATTACTAAGTATAGAGATGTTGCGGCACGGAGTTGAGGTTTATACTCCGGAAGTATTTAAACTCTTTCAGGCAGAATATAAGAGAATTCTTGATTATAACATATATAAAGTTGGTAAATCTGAAGTTTGAAGCTTCAACAGAAAAAGTCAATTGTAGTTGTGTGAAGTTCACGTTTGTTGGGATTTTATGTGTTCATGCAATCAAAGTTGTTGATAAGAAAAATGTGAAAAGGATTCCATCCCAATACATATTGAATCGGTGGAGGGTGGATTTGGGATTCATGACAACCCCAAAGAGTCTATGGGAAAGTGTTACAACCATTTATGTCGCAATTTTCGTGAGATTGCATCCTTTGCAGCAGAGCATGAGAAACTAACAGAATATGTTGATCAAGGCTCCATTGAGATGCTCAAAGGTTTAGAGGAAATAAAGACAAATCTTTTTGGTGGAAATCAACATGTTGACAGAGTGGTTGAGAGAACTAATTCTGCTACACCAATTGTAACTGGAGTTAAAAGAAAGGCTACAGTTGGACGCCCATGCAATCGATTGAAGGACCCCCTTGAACGAAAAAGACAGAAAACATCAACAAAAGCTTCTGCAAGACGACAAATAACAATGCAGGTAACTCCATACATACTGACACTGTGAATCTATATGTGCGTAGTACTTTATACACCACTTACGAAATTTTTTGTTTTTTTTTTACTGTCAAAAACCTGTTTGTAGGAAACTGATTTCACAAGTGGAGGTTCACAAGTGCAACAGATTGTTGGACATGAGGTTCAAGCATTTCCTCTTCAAGGAAATTATCTTTTCAGTTTCAGTTTGCATATAAATAATTAATTTAAACTTCTATTTTTCTTTATGCCTCTAATAGGAACCTTGTATGGAAAATGGAACCTACATGCCATTTTCAACACAGGAAAACTCTAATATGATGACAAGTTGGCAAGACAAAATTTCTTTCACCCAACTACTTCATGTAGGTATATTCATGATGTTACTATTTCTATGCTAAATTTACCTTATTAACTTGAAGCTTGGATACTTTGTAGGAACAAGTACATATTGATGCTTTTTCACAAGACCAAGAATTGGGAAGTTGAGCAAGATCTTTTTGCTGGATATTTTTTGGGTAGTGCAGCTATGAAATATTTAACAGATGAAGATTGCACAAGTTTTTTGTCGGGTTGTGCAACATATCAAAGGAGATAATACTTGTACATTTTGTGCAGCACATGAGAATTGGGTTAATAGGGATTGCACATTTTGTTTTTTGATTGTGCAACATCATTGACTTGAAGGATAGAAGTTGTATATGTACTATTGTTGCTTAATGGGTGACAACGAAATGGCTTAATGAAAAGCTTTTTTTTTTTTCTTCTCTCGGAACAGGTTGGATGCAACCTATGCAACCAATTTACTTCAGCAAAAGATATGAAAACCAGTTAGCTTGCAAGGAGAGGAGAAAATTATATAAAAACTTAAATACCTTTTATTTATTTATCAACATAAGATTATTATAAGCAAGGGTCTGGGAGTTTAAAGTAGTTGGAGTTTGCTGTTGAGGAGGCTTGAGTTAAGCTAAAACCAGCCATGGCTCCTGATGTATCAGGAGCCAAGCAATGTCCTGTGTTTATTTGATTTCAGCTGTTGATATGTCAATGAACTGGGAGCTTAGCTGAATTTGGGCCTAATTATAACCTGCTCCACAAACAAAGCTCACCTACTCCACCAAACAAGACAGAAGAGGCGTTAAAGCGAAGAACGTCGACAAAATTATAAACAAGCTTTTCAAAGATCAAATCTAAGAGCTCAGGTTAGAGGTCAGACCACTTATTTGATGCTCTTGAAGTACTAGCAATGCTCCTCCTCCTCCTTTTGGTGCAATGGTGGAGCAGTGGAGCTCCTTTCTCAGCCATTATTGTTGTTGGGACTATATATATGCTGCACAAAATTAAAACCCTATATAATTTAGGAGATTGAGAGTTTCAAAAAGTGTTGCGCTCTGCATGTATTTATTTGTTTTGTTTAGATGAACTCCTATTTGGATTATGACAGAACTTCCCTAGGATTCAACTGATAGTCGTTTTAGTAATTTCCCACTTAAAATCGGATTCTTGCATTAACTAAAAGGCTTAATGATTTTTTTGGCGAAACAAAAGCTTTAATTGGATTATTCCCTTCCATTACAAAGTGCTCTCTAAAATCAGTAGTAGAAGAAGCACATGGGGTGGCACCACTGTGGAAAAGTGGGCCAAAACCTCTCCCCCTCCCCCAAGTGCACCCATTCGAAGCCTTTATCGGGCCTTCCTGCGGCACGCATATGCCTACACAATGGCCCCAAAAAAAAAAAAAAACAGTAGTAGAAGAAAATCTTTTATTTGGTCAAAGAAGACAATCACATATAAGCGAACAAGATCACATAGACTGGCGCTTGTATTCAATTTCATAGCCTTTAACTCTCAATAGTTCAATCTGCATTTCATGAACAGTTGAGACAAAGTGCTCAACATATTTATAAGCACAAACAAAAACAGTTGAGACTGAGAGACTAACATTAGTACCAGGGACTAGGCACAATCCAAACGGGTGGTGAAGTCCGATATTTATTGCTCACAGGCGCTCGAGTTGGATAATATGTCTCAACAACTTTAGTTTCTAAGTTGTATACTCCTCCCACATGAATTTCATTAAAATTATCACAACTCTCATTCAGCTTAAGCACATGATCCAAATCTGTGAAGTAAATAGAGTTTTCTTTCAATCTTGGCAATTCTTTGGTGGATAATGAGAATGACATTGCAGATTGATTTCTGGCCAAAAATAAAGCACAATCACGCAAAGATTCCACCTTCTCCAACGTTTTGGCAGCAATATTTAACTTGTAGACAAAAAATTTCACTGCTCCTCTGGTATCATTCCCTAACCGTTCCTTCCCCACAAGCAAAAGCTCACCCATTGACTCCACCAACCATTCATCAACCGCCATGCTATTGACATTCCCATCGATGGAAGGTTGAAAATTCATGATCTTCGTGGGATAATTATTATTATCATGGGTGCCCCTGAAGTCCCAAACTTGAATTGTGTGGACGATGGACAGTGTAAATAAATGACCATTGTGGAATACCATATCGGCACAGGTACTCCCATGTGATAAGTTATTCCAAGCAGAAGCGTTGTCTCCTCCTCTGCCATGCTGATAGAATGCTAACCCTGTCCTTTCAAAGAAGCGACTATGAATTACCACAACTACAAAGTTGTTGTTGCGGGAGGGGTCCGAGGAAAGCACAACTTTATCAGTTCTAGTCAGTTTTGGCGCCAAGAGAAGCGTCAAGCGTTCTCTGGAAATTGGATTGAAAAGATGAACGATTTCTTCATATTCGTTGTAGGTTTTCTTTTCTGTGTACACCTCCTTAATCGCCAGCCACCCATATGATGAACCCAAACAGGAAACACCATCGCCATGAAACGTTTTCTCCCGATTCCAGTCCATCTTGTAAACCTTATTCTCTGGAAGGCTGAAGAAGCACCGGCTCTCAATAGGAGAGAACTTGGGCATGGGGGCCAAGAGCCATGGATATTGAGGCAAGGGGGCAGAGGTATACGATCTTGCAGCAGCGCAGTTCCAGGAAGAACAGACGGCTTTAAACCGAATGATGTCGAGGACATTTGAAGCGAGCTTTTTCAAGATCAACTCAAACAGTTCAGGAAGGAGCTCATCAGCCCACCTATTTCTATTTGGTGGTGTTGTTTTTCTTTCGGTGGTGCAAGCCATTGCCATTGCCATTGATGATATTCGGATTTGATTACAGAGTTCCCAAGTATTGTTTTTACATGTATTTATATGCGGTGATGTGATGTAAACCCTAATGAATTATTTCCTTTTTTGGTTTGCCAGAACCCTAATGAATTATTTTCTTCCTTCCCACGACGAGTCCCATAAAAAAGCCGGACTTACTTATTAATTGGGCTTTTCGCGAGATTGGGCATGCGGCCTTGTTGCCTGTTAATAATTTGGTTTGGGCTTGCAGGTAATTCGAGGACCCAAGTATTTTTCACAGATAGTTTTCTGCTGAGATGGAAAAAATGGTAGAACATGAAACAGTGGATATGCTTTCTCAGCCATTATTGTTGTTCGGACAATATGCTGCAGAAATTCAAATCCCCCAACTGCAATTAGAGGTTGAGAGTTGCAAAAAGTTTTGTGCTTTACATGTATATATTTGGGTATAAACTCCTATTTGGATTAGGATAGAGCGGTAATCTAGTTTTCCTGTTGAGAGTTGTTTTAATAACTTCCCACTCCAAAATGGATTTCTGCATTGACCAATTTACTAAAAGGCTTAATAATTTTAGAAAATTGATCTCAACTCAAGTCAATTAAAAAAAAAAAAGGGAGGTTTCACTAAAACACCCAAAATGGGAGCTTAAATTATAAAAAAACCCAACACCCAAAACACTTTATAAACACACCAAAACCCATCATTATACACACTCAAAACTCATTTATAAATACACCCAAAAAATACTTTGGGGTTGATTTTGGGTGTGTTTCTATGTTTAAATAGTGTTTGAGTTTTTTTATAAATACATGTCTAGAATTGGGTTTATTTATAAATTCAGTATTTTGTTTTAATGTGGGCTCTCTTTTTTTTCTTCTTTTTTTTTTTCTTCTTTTCATTATAATTTTTATCTGGCTGGGCATAGGTCATAATTTCTTCCACAAACAAAGCTCACCCATTGACTCCACCAAACAAGACAAAACAATCGTTATAAAAGATTGAAAATTCATGGTATAATAATACAAGAATTCCCGACAGTCCCAGTGTTAATCAGTAGAGTGCCCATTGTGGATTAACGGGAGTTGGATTCTTTGTATTAATCAATTTTAAATCCTCAAATATTCATTCATACATTTTGTAATCTAATTCTTTTACGATGTGCTCAAACTGCATACGAAAAGGCAAAAATAAAAAATGTAGAGAGAGTGAGAGAGAGAGAGAGAATAAAGTTTCGCTTTTAGAACAAATTAAACCCCAAATAGTGCTCTAATAAAGGGATGTGTGTGGTACCACTACCATATCACCATGGATTAGGAACAACACAAAAGTGGTGAACAAGTTTTGAACCGAATATTTACAGATTTCATATATGATTTGTGAAGTAAGTCTTTGTCTTCTAAGTTGTAAACTCTAACTCTACTTTCTTTTGTGAAGTAAATTGAGTTTTCTTTGAATTCTGGAAAACCTAAAGTGGATATTGCAATATTGCTGATTGATTTTGTAACAACCCGATCCTTAATTAATTTTTAACTATTATTTTATTCAAGGAAA